ATTCTTTTATATAGAACTAGTTTTAAAAGAATTCGGTGGGGCAAAAATTAAAAAAAAAAAAAAATTAGCGCTTATATAAAACAATGTAACTTATTTTTTAAATTATCCATAACTTAATTATTAATTCATAACTTAATTATTATATAAATTATCCATACTCATAAATGTTGAAAAAAAATCATCCAAGTTTAATTCCTTTTTGATTTCTTTTAACTACTAGTGTAGTTTTCGTTGCACATAGGACTTTTTAAAAAATATTTTTTTTCTTCACAAAATGGCAGTGTTTTTAAAAAATTAAAATTTAAAAAAATGACATAAAATAAGTAACATTTTAGTCAAGGTTTCGTGATTAGGTTCAAAAATCCAGCCAATACAATTAAAATCTCCCTGAGCTCAACGAAAACTGTATTGACTGTGAACATTGTGTTAAAACTTGGAATAAATCGGCTGAAAATTGAACTAGTTAGAGATACAGCAAGTAAGAAATAAAAATATTTATAAAAAAAAATATGTATGAAGAGCAGTCACGGCGAAACACCCAGTATAATTTGTCTAGTATTCGAAGTCATTATAGCAGAAGAAACATTAATTCATTTTGTTCGCATCTTTTTCCTTAATTTTTTCTCTCTAAAAAACCGCAATAATGTCAAGCTGTGCGGTTAATTTGAATAATAATTATTTTGTAACAATCTCCTCAGAGGGAATTTCAAAATCCATCTGTTATTTTGTTCAATATAGCTAGAGCTTTTTTTTTTTTTATTAAATAAAGTAAAATGTTCAATAGCTTTATAGATATAGATAAATAGAATAATTTGTTTAGTATTCGAAGTCATTATAGCAGAAGAAACATTAATTCATTTTGTTCGCGTCTTTTTCTTTAATTTTTCTCTCTAAAAAATCGTAATAATGACAAGCTGTGCGGTTAATTTAAATAATAATTGTTTTGTAGCAATCTCCTCAGAGGGAATTTCAAAATCCCTAAGTTATTTTGTTCAATATAGCTAGAGTTTTTCCTTTTTTTATTAAATAAAGTAAAATGTTCCATAACTTTATAGATATAGATAAATAGAATAATTTGTTTAGTATTCGAAGTCATTATAGCAGAAGAAACATTAATTCATTTTGCTCGCGTCTTTTTCTTTAATTTTTCTCTCTAAAAAATTGTAATAATGACAAGCTGTGCGGTTAATTTAAATAATAAATGTTTTGTAGCAATCTCCTCAGAGGGAATTTCAAAATCCATCAGTTATTTTGTTCAATATAGCTAATTTTTCTTTATTTTATTAAATAAAGTAAAATGTTTCATAGCTTTATCGATAAGATAGATTTCGTTTCACCTTATCTCATTTGAAGGACAAAAAACTTCCTTCAATGTTTCTATAAAAATTACAAGGCATCTAAATTATACTCTTTAAAGGAAATCTATTTTATTCTAATGCGATCGCACTCATTGATAAAAACGAGTTGTATGAAGACGAGTCTTTACGAATGTTGTTGCCTATGAACTATTAAAGAATGTTTTTTTCGCATTAGGTTTATGAATAACTTAACTCTTTATAGGACCTTTTTTATAGTAATGTTATAATAAAATATTTTAGGGATTGAGATTGATTTATAGAAAGAAATCCATTTAGGCTTAGTCTTTAAAATTAATTTTATTTCAGCACCATTTTATTAAGGTATTTTCGAAATTTCATTTACTGTAAACAATTGGCCGTAAGCTTCTGATAATAATCAAATTTATCCGTAAATAATCAAATTTATAAATTCTGTGTTTATTACTGCAAATAAACTCGATGAAAAATTATCAAATGAACGAACGTATAAAGCATTGAAGAAAATAGCCCTCTGTGATGGCCTCTGTTCTTGATCACAGGCAAACCTATACTGTTACCTATATTTAAGTAAATAAAGCCCTTCATTGATATTTTTTCTGTATTTTCATAATTATTAAGCATAATCATAAAACGATCAATAATATCGATGAAAAAATAGTTTTCTATCGATATTTAAAAATTAATAAAGTTGATGAGAAATATACTCCTTGTTGCCTTTTAAAGGGTTAAAATAAGAATGGCAAGCCCTTTATACGGGTTCCACATATCTGACACGACAGAATATTAACAATAGCTCGAGCACGTGATATATATATGTAACATAGAAAGCTTCAATTAATCTTTTTATGTTATCCTAATTAATTATTCTAATCGATATACTTTCTCATACTTTTAAAAGCCACATCCTGTTCTTAAATCTATATTTGGCTATCTATATATGCATTTAATTAAAAGCAGGACATTTTTCCCTTTGCTCTCTGTGGGAAACGCTCGACCTATTTCATAAACCTATAGCAACTACTAAGATTTCCCCCTTTCCCTAAATTGAAACATTTTACGGATTTACTTTGCAAGATTTTCCCAAACATATAACCAAGGAGCACAACTTTTCGTACACACACTCTCATGACTGCTCTGTTTAATAATTAATAAATAAATTTTGTACCCTCCTTCCCGTCCTAAGAACTGTTTTAATCCTTCTACTCGGCAACGACGTTATATATATATAATATAAAAAAATTTTAGAAAGAAGAAGCAAAAATATTAATAAGATTCAATATATAAATTCTATCAAAATATTAATTCTGTTTTCTTCGCTNTGTGTCGAAAAATATACGAATGTTATATGCCAAAAATATAACATTCGATAATTAGTTTGAGAATTATTTACTTTTAAACTTGAAGTAAAAAATATCATGCGAGACGATTTGCAGCTAGCTGAAATACAACTACGTAATTGAAATTTGACATTCTAAAGGAAGCATTTTTATTTGTGAACTTAACGCATATTATGTCTTCAAATTCACTACACCAACTGGGTTGATAAAATTCCACCATTTTTTTCTGTTCTTTTTTTTTCCTTTTTTTTAATAAGTTTAGTTTATTTAAAAACGAATGATTTTTAACTCGAATATAAATTTCTTTTCTCTTTTTTTCTTCTTTTTATTTGCCCTAAGCGTTCAAGCAGTATAAAAGTTGAAGGTCATTTTTTTTTGTACATTTTAAAGCGTTAACTGGTACAATAATTAGCCACTTTTAGCTCAGATGAAAATAATAATAAATAGCGCAGTAAGTACTCAAATGCGTGACATATTTCTTCACAAACTGAAAACGATTGTACGCTATCAATTTGAATAGTTTTCACTCAACATTTATTTAGCACGAACATTTACAACAACACCGGCTATTGCAAAATCAACCAGAAATGACCTACGATTTTGAGCTCAGCACTTTCCCTCTTTTTAGTCCCCATCACCTTGAGGAAAAGATGACTTAATTTCAAGTTATTTTTTTTTCCACAAATGAAAGTTGTCGGCGAAGTCCTGAAGTCGTGTTTTCACCTCCGTCTTCTTTCCTCATTGGAATAACGTGCCAAGATAAAGTAAGTCCAGCATTAAAAATTCAACTTTCCTTTCAGTGTTTTAAAAGTAATTAGTTGGGGCAGTGGACCATTTTGACCCGCTGGATGAATTTACATAAGTTTCTGTGGTAGGGCTAAAATTTTTAAATCTCTTCCGCTGGGATTTTAATACAGTCGAACTCCGTTACTTTGAACTATCTGCGGACATAGCAATAAGTCCACTATAAACGGTGGTTCACTATATCCAAATTCTTAAAAATTCTAAAATATTTTTTAGCATATGACAATAGTATAGTAGGAAATAATGTTTACGATAATACATAATTTGTTTAAAAATGTTACCTGATTAAATAGATAACGAATCAAATAAAAAAATTTGATTTATTCTTTTTTTTTTATTCTATGGAAGGAATTAGTGATTTTCAATTGATTGTATTTCAATTTTAAGTAGAGTTCACCAAGAATTAGTAATGAATCCAATATTTTCAGTAGGAAATAAATCCTGATCATTTAATGCCTATTTTACTCCTGAAATAAAAGTTGCCGAAATTCCTTGTTCTTCTTTAACTTGTTTGTCTAGTTTAAAAGCGAAGAACATTAAAGAGAAAGATGTAAATGTAAAGAAATGCAGTCATTTGCAATCGCATTCCTGAAAATTTCAAATTGGGGAAAAGAAAGAAAAAAAAAAACTTAGGAAATGAAATTAGAGTCTACTATAAACGAACTACCAATTTTTCAGTTGTCCGCTGTAATCCTATAGAATAATGTTAGCTAAAAGGGAGCTCCGAATGGACCACCAAAACACTTCATTACAACCGAGTGTTCACCATTTCCTAGGTTCATTATGTCCTAGGTTGGAATATAACTTAATCTCCTCTAATGGAACTCTAATATTTGAAAAGCCGTACCGGCTTCTTGTTACGGCTTGGTTAATAATTAATTTTAGAAACTTTAAAAAAAAAAAAAAAAAAAAAAATTAATCTGAAATTCAAAATAGGAGAATAGTACCTAAATTGCTACAATTTTTTTTAATTTTAAATTTAGATTAAAACATAATTACTATGATGTTCATTATTTTATCTATTGTAGCGCATGACTAGTGTAAATCGTACTGGATCGACCAAATTTGCTAAGCTAAAAGCACCGCAATTGTACAATAACACGGTCCCCTTGGTCGTTACTTTAAACTGAATTAACATGTTGCTTAGTTATGAAGTGTTTTTAAATTAACACAAGTAAATTACGATATATTAGTAAAGTTGAGCTACTATATCTTTAAATTTTTGTCAACTCATAACTCTAACAGACAATTCGTAAGGAAAAACATAAAAGTGAATACAGTAGGGAACCGATTATCCGGAACGGTCGGGACCAACGCTATTCCGGATAACCGATTTTTCCGGTTTTTTGAATCGCTACAAAAAGCCGTTTTTTTTATTGTTAAACACAACTAAAAAAAAAAAAAAATTGGAAATAATCTTAAAAGTAAGAAAAAACGATGAAGTAATACACTAATGATTATTTCCAAAATGTTGGTAAGGTAAACATCTTTAAAAAAAGAAAAAAAAAATCGTAAACTCTTATGAGGAAAAAATTTTTTTTTTAAAAAATGGCGAGAAAATTTATCGAATATCGTTCCGGTTTTTCGGTTTTCCGGTTTTCTGGGTTCCGGATAACGGGTTCTGTACTGTATTTTGCAACATTTAGGAGGCCCAAACAAATGTGGAGCTCTAGGCCTCGCAGGCCTTGTCATAAATCAGAGACAGTATCGAAGTTTATTTTGAATGTTTTGTCTTAGTTCCATATTCAATTGCAAAATAATGCCGGTGACATGACACAGTTTTTGTGCAAAATTGCCGCACAACAAAGCGTTAAATACGTTTATTATTGTTGGATCATGGTAATTCATACACAATTTTGTGGTAAAAAATGATTTCATAAAACATAACAAAAGTATTCACTTGAATTCGGTTAAAAATAATACATTTTAACGAAGAATTTTAAAAATCAATAAAATAAATTTTTAAACATTATCCATACTCGTACTGCAGCCCATAGAATGCTTCGATTTTTTTAGTATTATCTTTATTTTGGTTAGGACACTATCTCCGAGCAGTGGTGGCTCAGGGGATAGAGCGTTCTCCTTCCAATGAGGTGAACAAGGTTCGAATCCAAGCGATGGCTGGTCGATACGAACTCCGCCCCTGTCTCGCACTGATCACAGTGCTAACGTAAAATATCCTCTGTTGTAGACGAATCATGGGTTAGAGTCCCTTTGCCGTCAGGTTAAGCGTGGAAGGTTTTCGTGATTCTCCTCTCCATGAAACGCAAATGGCGGGTTAGTTCCATGATTCGACATTTTATGACGAATCATGAAATGCCACCTCATTGTATCGCCTCTTAATGACTGATTGATACGTATTCTGCTCCCGGCTTTAAAAAAACAGTGTCTGTAGGGTAAACTGGGCAAATGTATCCAGTGCTGATTTAAAATATCCTCCGTGGTTGACGGATAATGGGTTAGAATCACCTGGCTATCGGGCTAAACGTGAGAGGTTTTCATGATTTTGCACTCCATATAACGCAAATGCAGGTTAGTTCCATCAAAAAGTCCTCCATGAAGGCAAATTTCTTCCAATACTTGAACCACGAGTTCCCTTGTCTTCTGTATTGGGTTCAAAATTACAAGGCTACGGAGTTGAACATCAGTAGTCGCAAACCCAAAATTGGGTCGACTGTTCAACGACGGTTATAAAATAGGGGTGACGATAACAGACACTTTTTCTCTAATCAGGATTTAAAAATTAGGAATTTAAATACTTCCAAGTTTAAATATATTTGAGTTTGAAATTCAGTATCAGCTTAAACTACCGCTTAGCGGCTGAACCCTAACACTGCACGTAAACACAATAGCCGGCAAGCGGGAATTAAGTATACAGAAATTATTTATTTTTATTGAAATTACATACATTTGCTGACTTGTGTGCTCAATATATAGGCGTATAAGTCATTGTCAAGTAGAAAATACAGATAGAACAATTCAGAGAAAGACATCACAAAGAATACATCCAGGGTTACGGCGGGATTCGAACCCGCTACCTCCACGCTTAACAGAGCGTTTGGACCGGCGATACCGCTCGGCCAGGGAGGCCCCTATACAGAAAGCTCTTGTGATAGCAGGAAAACCTGTAAACAATTATCGATGAAATAGATTTTACTAATAAGAAACGATTAGTGAATGCTCCCGATTTTCTCATCTCAAAACTTACTTTTAAAAAAAAAAAAAAAAAAAAAAAAAAAAAAAAAAAAAGATATTTCACATTAACTGCTAGAAATTTCGGCTATTCGAATAATTTGTATATTTTTGAATATAGGATAAAAAAAAATCGAAACATTTTAGGAATCTATAGGGTGTACTGGTTTGAACTAGTTGTTTCCTATAGCTGGATTAACCACAACAGCTTTAAGATACAGGACTGAAAGGTGCTAAACGATTTTAAAAATTGTTTCCAAGTCTCAAATAATTATCTATGCAAAAAAGGGAAGTTTACTGAAAAAAATTAGAATAATATTAAAATTTTGTCAGGCATAATTGGTTAAACATCTATGTTGAGTAGTTACACTTTAAATTTACAAAATTAAAAAAAAAAATTAAAAAAAAGCCTAAATATTTTGCGAAAATCAGGAATGAGCGTAGCTGGTCCGCTTTGATTTATGCACATTACATACTTTTTCATAAATATCTGTACACTAAGTAAGTTCATTTTGAAACTAGAATATTTAAGAAAACAAAACCTAAATATTCTGTGAAAATCATGAGCGAGCAGATATAGTCCGCTTTGATTTGTGTATAGTATTATATAATATTATAATATATACTATACTAAATAATAATATCGCATATATTATATATAATATTATAATTGTGTATAATATGCTTACTTAGTTTACAGTTATTTCTTAAATAATTGTAAACTAAATAAGTTACTTTTGAAGTTACAATATTTTAAAACACAAAATAAATAGTCTGTACGAAACATGAGACAGCGCCACACATATATAGTAATTTTTAATAATTATCTTGATATAGGCTAGATATAGGCTAATATAGTTCTAGCTAGATATAGGCTAAACTTGATTTAACAGTCATGAGCTACCGTTACAATTTCACAGAAGTTAAAAAAACATCATATTATTCGCAATGGATTCGATTTGGAGATTAAAACTGCTATACATACAATTAAAAGAATAGAGAAATTTAATGATAATCCACATTTTAAAATAGAACAGAAAAGCATTTTTTTAAAATCGGTTTTGAATAAAATCAACACGATTTGTAGGATGAAAACGTTTCTGTGTGTTGAGAAAACCGGTATTTAAACTCCACGGAAACGATACTAAATGACAGTTAAATGTAAAAATTGAAATACATTTTTTAAAAAAAATTACTAATAGAAGACTGAGAAACATATAGTTTATTTTGTTTTTCTCAACTTTTGTTAACTGTGTAAGAAAGAAATGAGATTGAAAATTATTCTTAGAAAGTTTAAAATCAATTTTCGAGGTGATTCGTTTTCAATTTTCTAGAGAGACGTAAAATCTTGTGTGATCAAATTATTTCGATCACATAATTCAAACGTTTTTCACCAAATCATAAAATTTTGTGAGCCAAATAACCTAATTAAATCACTATTTTGATAAAAACAAAGCCTTACGATAGATTTGAATATCTTAAAAAGTTTCAAGTAATTTTCTAAGAAGATACTAAGAAACTGAAAATGATAAGTGATTTTCAACAAATTTTATTTTGTACTATTGTGACGTAACTACCACTATAAATATTAAATATCAAATAACTAGTATATAAGACATGATTACTTACATTTATTACGCGGTATCTATTGATAGATTTAAATTGACCAGTGTTGCCAGAACTTAAGATTAAAAAGTAGCGAATTCGAAAATTTTGTAGCCCAAGAAAACTACTTTTATATATATATATATATATATATATATATANG